TTTGTAGAGGAGAAAGAGCTCTTTCAAATGAATGTATACACTTTGCTAAAAAACAAAATAATCGTTGTAAAATAACTCTAACGCAAAACCCTACGAACTTATGTTACAACCCAATAGCATCTCACACATACATGTGCCCTTATGACAGCTTACGATCAAGTTAGTTTCGCAGTCTTTTAACAGAACTTCTCCCTATTCAATCGATATGTAGCATTGTCATGGCAGAAAACTCCCTAGAAGGGATCGGAGCCAGTAAGGCTCGATGTTCATCAATCTCATCTCGCTAACCCCTTCTCCTGCTTTGGAGAGTAGGGCCAACAGAACTGAGCCTCAGTGCGCTTTTTACAGATTACAAATCGAACCGATAAAATAATAGATGGACTACTGGACAACTCCTTTCTAGTGAATAATTTGCAATATCAGTTCGATCCGTACCTTCCCCTACAGATCGAGATTCTTGTACAGATACCCATTTCTGTGATGCACCAACGAACGTGGATGTTCTTCTTTGGCAAAGATTCATCCTACACTAAATGCTTCTGAATGCTTGTGTTTCAGGTTATTCCCATCCAGCTTGAAGATCCCTGGACTTCAATTTATCAAAAAACGTTGTCACGTCTTCTACAATCTTAGGGCCATAAGCAGTTTCTGAACTGTTGTTCGCAGCTTTAGTCGAATATGATTCAATTTACCTATGGGCTACAAAATGTTGAATAGACTAAACTGTTATCTTGTGTGGAATCAGGGCTCAATACAATGGAGGAATGAGATTCTGACATTTTAAACTTACCGTTGGAAGTGATTTGGTGAATTGAACCAATGGTGATGGTGGTTGTTTTTCATCTTCACTAGGCAGTAGTTGTTCAACAAGAAACTGCTTCGATTTGTCTTTTTTACGCAACGGAGCAACATGCGGTAGAAATGGAATCCGTGGAGGAAACGTCATATTGCCGATGCTTAATGGATGCGGTAATGGATGTGGCAGAGTGAAGAACGGTGGTGGAAGTGGTGAGACGAGCGACAGCCAGCGTGTGTCCATAGGCCACTGAAAAATTACTTGATCATCTTTTAAGCGATGTAACTTCGAAGCAGCCTGGCGATACCAGCAAGTAGTGACAGGAGAAGGGAAATGTGAAAAGGAGATAATGAAAGAGGCGAAAGAAAATACGGTGAAAATAGCTTGTAATCGGCGAAACACAACCACTTTGACTCCCATGGAGTTCTATGATGGACGAGTTTTCCAGAGCTATCTTAAAGTTGTCCTGGTCACATGATCACAAGTGACTTCTGGCTAATAAGCTCTGGCTATCTTTGCACTGCACTGTGGATTCTATTACCGTAAATGTCTTCAACAGTTATGGGGAAGGCTTGTGAGTGGGGGTGGTGTGTGACGGGGAGGCAAAGACATATCGAGACCCTATTAGTTTTTGGGGAGTTTTTTAAGGGACAAAACCGTCGAAGACCATTCCCTGTGGAAGGATCAAACAGTCAAAGATAAGCATAAGTTTACGTAACCACTGCTGTTACCGCTTCTGATCGACGATCGTCTGAGCTGCTTAGCGGCCACGAAGAAAAGGGAACAATGAGCAGACTCGATACTACTTGGCGCATGTGCAGGCAAGAATTCTCAATCGTCAAGCACATCTATCAGAATTAATATAGTAAGATTCATAAAATAAGATAAGAAGAAATATTAGGGTTGAGCATTGTAAGGCGGACCTGGACCATGTACGTCCAGTGATTTTTGGAATTACTTTTCTTCTTTCTGAATTCGTTCGACTCCTGTCGTTCCCGTATCAGGGAGCGTCATCCCACCTTTCATTCTTCGATGTAGGCCAATATCTGTCTTTACGGAATTTTCCTCAGCTTGCCAACCTCTGGCATACAAGGGCTTGAATGCAGAAACGTGTATATGGAAATAAAACCCAAGTCGATTAGAAAAGAGCCAGGAGAAAACAGAATCTTCGAACACATTGTTCTTGAATGCTCAGCATACAGATCTGTCTATTCCCTAAGTGCTTGAGTAGAGTTAGACCTATTTAGGCGGGATTGCTTGGTCACAGTACAGATGAGTTTCCAAAACAAAACTCATACAGAACAGTGACTCGCCTCATTCTATCAGGAAGAGTAACTCAATATTGGGCTTGCTGGGGGAAACTTTTGTAGTTTTGGGGCCGTAAGGTATGCTCACCTATTCGGGGCTGGGACGTCCCGATTCGGGTCTCTCTCTCTGCTTTCCCCGAAAGCACTATCTCTCTGCTCTCACCGAGAGCATACCTTACCGGGAAAGGGACCCTCACCTGTTCGGAGGAGCATATCTTCCTGTTCGGGGGATTACGTCCCTGCTGGTCTCCTTGAAGCATAACTGACGCCTCAGTCAGCAGATGGATGACAGAAATTACGATATACAGCCAATTATTTCGATAAAGACCAAGGATCAGGGCTCTGTGGATGGATTCTCAAACAAATTGTTAATCAATTCCCATTTGTTTGTTATGAATTGATTTAGCAACACGACTAGCTTACACCAAAGGTTCCTCATTGAGTTTGAGGCGTCTGTCCGATGTGGAGTCTTTTCTCTTGACTTTCTTCGCACGTCACAAACGCAGAGAATCAGACACTGGGTGAGCACACCTGGGAAATTAGGATGTTCGGAGTACAACAACTGTCTCCTTAGGAAGGGGCAAGAAACACATTATACTTGAGTGGAAGGGGCAAATCTTCTCACAGAGTAGAGGGCTTCGGTCAGGCCAGTGGCTAGCACCGGTCTTCTCTGAGTGCTCCTGGGCAGAGTGGAAAACCGGAACTATCACGTCTACCTATTGTGAAGAATTGTCGGAACATCGATGATTGTTGCGTCATTGCGCAGAAGTACTCCAAAAAAGGGAGAATTGTTCAGTGTTATTAACCAAAAATCACTGTCGAGAGATGTATCACGTTACAGTTGACTCCTTATGTAGAACCGTCGGAACAGAACCACAGAAGATTGGTTGGTTTGTAATGGTACTGCAAAAAATCTGTTGAGATCCCTCTCGTACACGCTATGACTGCACATTCAGGAGCTTTAAAAGAAGTGATCGTTTGGGGCAAGTAAAGAACAGCTGTTGCACTCCGTAGAGGCGAAGTGGAACTAGTAGAGCCGGCGAGATTGGCTTCAGACACCTTCCATCAAACGGTTGTATAGGGTGTGAGGTAATGTAGGCATCCTACAAATAACCATGGAAGTATGCCATACTCTGGATTACCGATCTGGCACCGAGTGAGCACCGATTGGACAAATGCCAAAGAGAATATTCTAAATTCAATTGCAAACGGCTTGTTGATTGAAAGTCTCGAAGACGAAACGGAGCTGGAAAGAGTTCCGAGCATTATTCGTTTGCGGAAGCTCTGCTTTCAAAGCTGAATCACCCGAAGGGGTGCTTCTACTAATAAAGAATTCTGCGCTACTTTGCACAGATTCTCCTTAGAGGTTCCTTGGAGGATTCTAGAGAATCTGAAATTCAGAAAGCTTGCCATTACATATGATGGGGTAATGACCCTAGTTAGTTCCAAAGTCTCAGTTCTACGACCAATTTACATGTTCTCGACAGGGACGATCCGTTCGAACTTTTCGGCAAGGGATCATTCCAATCATCACGAAGTCGCAACAAAAAGATAACTTTATGTGAAGGAAAGATTCTTTTCAATTAAATGTTTTCGCCAGGTTATGAAATGTGTTAGATCTTCAGTCTACATTTATAGGACCTTGCAAGTAAGGAAGGCAACATAAGCTCAGGAGCGATAAATCCCACAGAGTTGCTTCCTACTTGGTAAAGTTTGTTCAATAGACCAAAAAAATTGCCATGCACTAAATTTGTGAGCTGCTTCGATTTTTAATGTGCCTTATCTCTTGTGGTCCCTTGTGGGAGCACAAGCAATTCCCAAGTAAATCACTTATCTACAGGCAGAGTTCGTTATGAACTTTGAGGGGAAGAAAAACTAAAAATCGTGAAAGTGAACGCGTTTCGATCTAAACTTTACCTACCTTTG